CTCTAAATCAGGGTCAGCAAACTTCTCTAAAAAAGTTAATAGCAAATATTTTCAACATTGTGGGCTATGAAGTTGATGCTACAACTACTCACCTCTGTCATGCAAACAGCATAGACACATGTTCATGACTGTGCTTCAATAAAGAGTTATTTCAAAGAATAGGTGACTGCCAGTGAGCCCGAAAAATGAGTGAGCAGGAAAACTGACTTCTGAGCAAAGTCTTCCCTACAGCTAGCTGACCTAACTGACAAAAAAACACTCCCCTTTTATACCCCCTCCCACACCTAACATATGTCTGAAGCTGCCTGGACATGTCCTCCTCCACTGTCTTTTGTTCTCAGTAAGTGTCCCTATCCTCAAAATGATGTAATCCCTGCTTTCCCGCCATATGTAAATGAGATGAATTTCAGTGTGCTTTTCAATCCAATCACGTAAACTTAATGCAACTGCCTCAACCAGTAATGTGATGGTATTGCCTTGCTTCTGTATCCCCACCCTTCTTCCCCTTGATCCATATAAACCCTGTTTACTGCTAACTCCAGGCTGATCACTGCACAGAAATCCTCAAGCAGCCTGCTGGCATAATAAAGCTGTACACTTGCTTTCAACCTCCAGGTATATTCTGGAGTCTTGATGGCCTGAACCCCCTACCACAAGAGGGTAACACTGTGGATTTGCAAGTCTGCTGCTATACCAGGCCTGGCCTGAGAGCTGTAGTTCACTGGCCTGCTCCAAACCTTTCCTATTCTCAGTGACGTGTCAATGTGGCTCAACTCCAATGTTCTGTTTCATCATTGTGGTCCCAGCCAAACTGAGGGCTCTTAGTTAAGAGGACAGGACCCTCCCTTCTCAAAGGGCAATTTAGTTAAGTGTTGTGTGCTTAAACACATGCAGGATGATATACCAACATTTTTTCTAAAAATATTTTATACCCCATACAGTGATCACTATTAAAGAAATTTAGATGCATAAATATAGCTCAATTTAATTCCAAATATAGTCCCATCTGCATAAGCAATGGTATTTCAGAGCCTACAACTATAATTGTGGTTAGAAAGATGGCTTAAGATACAGAAAAACTAGCACTCATACCCACATTACCCAGACACATGACCCCAGGAAATGACTTTATCATGCCTCATTCTTCTCACCTACACCATGAGGGCAGTACTTTACCTGCCCAAAGGCCAAAGTCTAGACCAGAAGATCTCATGGAGATCCCTCCTGAAAGTTACACAGGTTATTTCCATAACCTATGTTTTCAAATGATTTCAGAATTTTCAGGGGTACTTATTAAAGCACAGATTCCTGGATCTTGGCCTGAGAGTCCAATTCAGGGAACGAGAAAGGTTTTAAACTCTCCCAAGTCTCCAGGGGATGCTGACACTGATGCTGTTAGGCCAAAGACCACACTTTGGGAATCACTGATTTGTATGATAGGAATCTCACAGCTCACTACATTGGGACACAACCAAAAGGGAAGCTATAGCTTGTTCCTCTTCACTTGTTCAAGATGGGATTTCCTCTTGAAGAAAAGGTTGCTTTGATTTGCCTGCTGAATGTCAGCTGCCAGAGCTACATCTCAACAGCTCGTTACAGGGTGAAAGTAGGCTGGTGGTCAATCACACAAGGGCATGCTGGACTTAAAGGCTGAGTGGGCAGATAGCCATCTGGGGAAAGATGAGGAAGTGGGGGACCACTGAGCAGTGAGAGACAAAAATGCTATCACAGAATTCTCTGGTATAAATCACTGTTATGGTTTATATCTAGATGTCCCCCCAAAGCCCCATGTGCTCAGAGGTGGGGCCTGTTGAAGGTGATTGCATTAGGGAGGTGCAACAGCTGGCTTGGTGTTGGGAAATGGGGGCTAGTCAGAAGACATGGGTCACTGGGGGCATGACCTGGAAGAGCACATCTCCCTCCCTAGATGTTCCCTTCCCTTCCTGCTTCCTGGCTGCCAAGGTAAGCAGCTTTCTTCTGCCATGCCCCTCCACCATGCTGTTTCTTCTTGGGAGCTGACTGACCATGGACTTTAATGTGAGTCAAAATAGACCTCTCCTCCTTTAAATTATGGATATCTGGTAGTGTGTCTCAGTGATGAGAAAATGAATAAGACAGCTACCCTTTTGGAACTTCTCTTTCCATAAACATCAAGTTAACAGAAGGTCTGAGTGAGGGCTGGCCATTCATAGGCCTGGTACCAAGTACTACACAATGGGCAGGGTGGGGCACAAGGAGAAGATGACTGAGACAGCACAGACTGCCCCTTGGGGCTCTCAATGTCACAGGGAGGGTGAACTTCACCTGTGTCCACTTGCTTGGCAGTTTTACACTGAGACAAATAGATAATTGGGTCATTAGGATATGTGGCATTAGAAACCGAGTACGCTGCTAGACTTGGAAGATCTGGGCAAGTTTGCCTGGAGGAGGTGACATAGGCTCACCTTAGCTTGGAGAGACTGGAAGGACTGAAGGATGGAAAGGTGAGTAAAATATGAAAGGTGGCCTGTATGAGCCTGCAATATTAGCAGAGTAGGCCCAGCAGTGTGCAAAGGGGCTATCAAACCCATCTCTATCACTCTCAATATAAACTCTTTGGGGTCGTGCCCACTTCTGTGTCCCTGTTTCCTTACTTGAGAAGTGAATAGTTTGAGCTATAAAATCACAACTTTCCAAATTTTGTTCATCTTGGAGAGACTCCAGGCCAACAAAGCGTGAATGACCAGGCTAGTCTCAGTTCTTCCTGTCCCACCTCTGCTACAGCCAGAGCAGTTCTGCTTTCTCACATTTTTATATCCCTGCAGAGTTTTGTTTCCAGAAAGGATTTGAAAATTACTCACAAGGAACTCTGTAAAGGTTCCTTCTGTTTGCACATAGGTTTGTGGATTGCTAAATTGGCTGGCCAATTCTGGAAAAGCTGAAAAGCCAAGGGGAGTTTAGAATAATGGGAGTAGGAAATGAGGAGCCGTTGAAAGTCTGTGAGTAGAGCGAAATTGGGCCCACAAACTGCTAGAGACTGATCTGGAAATCTCAAATGTTCAGAAGGTTCTCAGTAAAAGCAAAGAGTGATTTTCCCCCTTGTCAGCCTTCTCTCCCAGGACACTGTACAGTATGCAAAACGAGTAACTGTAAGACAAACATTTTTTTCCATTGCCCTTCTCAGCCCCACAGCCCTTCAGGAAGACCTGAACTTCAAGCAAAGCCTTTTTTATTTTTCAACACCCACAGCTTCCATTCAACAATCAGAAGTTTTCCACTCTGATCAAAGGGGCTCAACAAAGAGGGCCAAGGGCACAACCTGTTCTCAGCTACCTTGGGCAGATCAAGAGGCCCTGCTACCCACTCACTGTCCATGCCCACCAGAGGACACAGACGTCTCCCTAGATCAGCTGCTCACCCACAAAACACTGGCTTGCCCTAAGCCCACCTCCAGCAGCAGACCAAGTAAATGTGCACACACATGTCGTCCAAAACCAAGCTCAGCTCAGGACCAAGGGGACCTCAGATTCCTGGAGTATAAATCAGACACATTGCCTACCACTCTACTAGGCCCAAGAAAACAACTCATCAATTCAAGTACCTCCTTCATATCAGGATTTATGATTTCAGAGATTCACTAGGAAGGATATCCAACCAATTCCTAAATTGAAATTAACTCAGGGGAAGCTAAGAAGTTAGGGATCTATATAATGTTGCAATGGTAATAAAGCAAACTTGGTTTTGGTCGTGGAGCATTTCCTTAGAGGGTTCTGGCTCCCAGCAAAAAGTAAGCAGAAAGAGGCCAGATACTACCAAAAAGGGGCCACCTCCAGGGTGACAACAAATTAAGTTTTCCAAGAGCCACATCTAGAGGCAGCTGCTGTACAATGATTAATATTTTAAATGTCATTCTGACATATAGATCATTGGTAGCTATAAATATGACTCAGCTTTGTGTCCCAGGCAAGCTGTTATATCTAAATTCCAGACGTGGCCCAGGGGACTACTTGGGATGTTTAACAGGAATTGTCCAACACCATCTGCCAAGTCTATTCCCATTTATGAAGTGATCTGACATCATCTGGCTTGATCTTCATGATGACTATAATTCAGAGAGAGAAAGGAAGGACCGCAAGGACTGAGACAAGTACCCAGAGCTAAAGGGGTAAGGCTGACCCTGTACCTCAGCTGCTCAGCCAGCAAGTGCAGGGAAGGTTGGGCAATGGAGTGTAGGCTTTCAGGGGGCTCAGGCAGGTTTGAGCATGCAACCAAGTCCTCTCACACTTTGATGCTTGCAGCTTTTATTTACAATGTTTTCATCCTTGCGGAGCCTCTATTTTCCCATTTTCAAAGAAGAAATGCCATCTGGCTCAGAGGGAGGAGATAAGGATGGAGTGAGGCCTGAGCCTACAGAGGCTCTGTAATCACTAGTCTCACACCCCGCAAACACATACATGCCCCGCACACTGCCCTACATGGGACAGTTCTCAACCCCTGTCCACACCACAGCACTCCCTAATTTCTTCCCCCTTTTCAGCCTTATGGAAGTCCTAAGGTCATCTGCCTGTTTAACACTCCCAAAACACCGGAGTTTTTGTTCAAAAGCTCAAATTTTCCAGATTCCTATTCTCTCCCAGGATCTTTGAATCTGTCCCCCAAATGTTTTGCTGCTGTGAATGAGCTTGTTCTCCTTTGAATGAATTTCCACAAGTGTGAGCTCTCCCCCAGACAGTGGGTAGTATTTCCAGCTTCCAGAAGGCATGGGTGTTGTCAAACTCAAACCCGTGGTAACTCTGCTGTGGTCCAAGGAAAGCAGCTTCCCCAGACTTAGCAAGGAGATTTATCTGTGATCTTCTGAGCCATGGCTTCGCTGGAGACCATGCAGCCTTTCCGGCAGGAAGGCGTTTGTGGCTGGGACTGAACGAAACAGAAGTTACTTCGGGCACACACACGCGCGCACACACACACACACACACACACACACAAGGGAACTGTCATTTTCCTACGCGCCCTCTGACATCAGCCACCTTCTCTCTAGCGACAGTTTCTCTGCACTCAACTGAATCCCAGGCGATGAAAAATGAACCTCTCCCCCACCCTTGCTGCCGCCGCCTTTTGCCTCACGCCCCCAGAGAGGAGTTTCTCCGCCAGGCAGCCGGTGAAGATTTTTTTCCAAGTCACATGATCCAGGATGCAGGGGGAAAATCCTTCTTGGAACAGAGATGGGCCCAGAACTGAATCAGATGAAGAGAGATAAGGTGTGATGCAGGAAAGACTATATAAAGAATGGACCCAGGGCTGCAGCAGGCACGCAAGCAGCCCAGGGGCCCCTTGCCCAGAGCCAGCCATGCATGTGTCCCCTGGCACCGTGGCCAGCCACTTGGGAGGAACCAGCCGCAGCTACTTTTACTTCACCACCACCACACTGGCTCTGTGTCTCGTCTTCACGGTGGCAACCATCATGGTCCTGGTGGTTCAGAGAACGGTGAGTGGATCGACCTGCTTTGTTTTCCCTTTCTGATTTATGTTCCACTTCCCCCCGAAAAATGGCCCTGGAAACAAAAGAATACGGTGTTAGTTGGGAGCAAAAAGTGAAAATAAAAATGAATAAAAGAAATAGGAACTTTACTCCCTGAAATAAATTGGATTTTTGAGGGAAACATTATTGGACCATCATCTCAAAACTTTCCAAGCCTACATGAGCCAAAAGAATGGAGAGACGTGATTGGCCTTGAGAAATTAAGATTTAAATCCCGCTGAGCCAGAGACTCATTGTGCCAAGGAAGAAACCACTGGGGAAACAGAGTTTGTTTGCACAACTTGGCATTGCATCTTCAAGGTCCTCAGAGGAGATCCAGGGGTCTGTAGTTTGGGTTCAGTAGTCTGAAGGTTTCCGATGCCTCTCTATTGCCAAGACGTTTTGTTGTTGTTGTTTTTACTCTGTTGTGTTTGTTTCTTTGTATTTAACAAAGAGCTAAATTTCTGAAGCCATTGGCTAGCACAAAATACTGCAGAGAAAAGGCCAGCGTTTCTCTGAGCTTTGGGCATTTCAGTGTCAAAACTGAAAGAACAAATTGAAAGCTTCCTGCAAGCCACTGCTTGGAAGAGAAGAGCTCAAAAACAGAGCTCACAAGAAACAAAGGAGAGAGGCAGAGAATAGAAAAATATTTGACAACTGCTCCTTCTGAGACACTTCACAATATTAAGTCATCCTGGCCAACAGGGCACGTGCTGTCCAACTGTCTGGAGATATTTACTTTATTTGAAGTAAGCAGTACGATTTGCTTATGAAAACAGAAGAGATGCGGGAGAAAGCATCTTCATATTTTAGAAAATCAGTGTTTACAGAGATTCCTTTAATAAGGAAAATATTGCACTACAATATATATGGCTCATTTGTTTTGGTAAAGTTTTTGCTAACGTGGATAACTTAAGAACTGTACCCACACACACACACACCATCCTGCCAAAGTGAGGGTTTCTGTTTATGACTTCCATTTGTCATGGTGTTCTAATCCTGCAGAATTCGCTCGGATTTTCCTTCTGTTGTCTCAGGCCAAATGCTCTATAACTCTTCAGTTACTAAATAAGACCTGGGCTTTAAAAGGCTTTGATATCTATTTCCCAAGGATCACCAAACTTTGAAATTTAAATGAAGCTTTGAAGCTCATATCTCTGTATCATTTTTAGAAAGAGGGGGGTTGAGAACATTTGATTTGGATGGCGGAATTCGTAAAACTCATCACTTACTGGGCTTGCCTCTATCTAATAATGATGTTCTAGAAATATCTAGGGTACCTTTCCTTCAGCACAGACTATAATTTCTGCGATTGGGATTTGGGCTGAAGCAGAAGTGTGTTGGTCAGAGGAAGGAATTGAAGTGTCCTTGAAGGAGTGCTTTGGCAGAAGGAAGGATGCAGGTAGAACTTCTGGACTTGGATGAGAATTGTGGTGGGTTGGAGGGTGGTGAGAGAGTGTTCCAAAGCTGTCCTCATCCGAATCTAATCTGGAGTTGAATTGATGTCTTCTGTGAAAGAACTAGAGTGGGTCTCTCTGCCTTATTTTTATAAATACAGAAAATGAGGCCCAGAGAGAGGATGGGCTTGAACTAGACCACCCCAAGAGAGTGCTAATGGCAAGACCACGTGATTGCTTAATGAGAATTCCATTTCCTCTGCTGGTACAAGGGCCACAGAAACATCGAGAAGCTCTGTTCCCACTCTTGTCTTGGAAGTTTTACCTTCTTGATCATCTCTTTCCTTGACTCACCCTTTATGATTGGATATGAAAACATGCACATCATAATTTGATTCTACGCTTTGGTGTGATATAGTTCCTTTTTCTTTCTCTTCCTCTTCTGTGTGTGTATATGTATGTGTCAGGCTGGGGATGGAACCCCCCTTTTTTATTTTAAAACAGGGTCTCATTGATTCATTAACTTGCCAAGGCTGGCCTTAAACTTGCAATCCTCCTGCCTCAGCCTCCCAGAGTGCTAGGATTTTAGGCATGCACCACCATGGGATTTTAGGCATGCACCTCTGAGTGCACCTACAAGTATATCTGTAGGATTAATCCTACATCCGGCTGTGCTGTTACTTTTTTTAAAACTCATAGAATCTCAGTTACTTGTTCCCAACCTGTTGCCTGTAATATTAATAATAGTTATGATATTCTGTGTCAAACACTTTACATATACTATTTTTTAAAATTTTATCAGACATTAACTATGTTAAGAAAAGGTATAATCCCTGCAGCTTGAGTTATCAAGGAAACATCTGATAGCAAGAAGGAGTATAGACTGACCTTAGAGCAGGTGAAACTAAGACAGTGAAGAGGCTGGAGAAAGCCAAGATGCTTAGGCTCACCTCCCATTATTAAAACCAGCAAGGGCTGAGGGCCACATAGCTCCCTTGGGGTGTGACAGGGACAGGAGTAGCGAACTATGAAGATGGTTTTACTGCTATAAGAAGTCTCACAGTTCTTGGTGAAAGGAAACATCCATAGACAAAATTTTAAGTAGTTAAAGCATAACACATACCAATCAATGCAAGACAGGCACACAGGGCTACCCTAGATCGCAAGGTAGGAAGAGATGGTGCTTCTGCAGCAAGTTTAAGAAATCACTGGAAATTGGAATTTCAAGTTGGTTTGAGAAACATGAGCAATTTCAAAGGGGTAGAAAAGGGAGGTCAGAGCAGTGATGCTCCTGGCTAAAAGCAAGGGGCTGGAGGAGAGGTGGTATAGGGGTGTGGGATCTTCAAAAGATCCTCTTGAGTTATGGCTTGAAGATCAAACAATTCCAAGGTCAAACTCCATGGGAGAGACATAGGAGGAACTTGGGTTTCAACCTCAAATATTTAACGGGTATCTACTATGAACAGAACATTGTACTAAGAACTGGGTATACAACCCCCCAAAAACCAATAAATTCCTGCTTTTACACTGTTTAGGAAGCTTTCTTTTGGTGATACATTTAAAGTTCCTGTAGTGGTCATTTTATTTGTATTTAAATCTGTATATTATTGTGAAATATCACACTTACATTAAGAAAAGTAAGGAGCAATTAAGAGTAAAGGGGAAAAAAGTAAATCTCTCACATTCTGTCCAGCTAACCGCCAACCCCTCTTTGTGGAAATAACCAACATAAATAGATTCTCATGTGTCCTTCCTAAAATCTGAGCATCTACAAATATGTACTACACATGTCATTCTAATAAACCCATAATTTTGTACCTTGCTTTGTTCACTTGACAGTAGATCTTAAAGATCTTTCTGTGTCAATGTGTAGAAGTCCATTTAACTTTGTTAAAGAGTCATATAGTATATTCTGTTATACCTGGACTTCAAAATATATTAAATGTGTGCCTAGTGTGTTTTTCTCCAGGATTTCTGCCCCTCTGAGTGCATCTACAAGTATATCTGTAGGATAAATTCCTAGAGGTGGATATCGAATGTTTATTTTCACCCCAATAAATGTTGTCGATATGAGCCTTTAAAGTGACTATAGCGCTGTTCCCTTGAGGACTTAAAATCCTGCCACAAAGAGACACACTGTCACATCAGTGTGGAAAGAAAGAAAGAAAAAAACAAAATAATTGATTTATTGCTGAGTCAGCACAGAAGTGCCAGCCGCCAGGCAGCCTAAGAAAGACTATAGAGTCCAGGTAGGATTTCACACGATTTATACAACTAAGTAAAAGAAGGAATCCAGCTTCTCTCATCTTCTTATAAGAAGAAGGAAGACACAGTGAGACAGCCTCCCGGGTTATACCAGAGATAGATAGGTGCTTACATTTCAAGGGGGCCTGGAAGTCCTTAACAGAAGAGGCTGCGCCTAGTCTCAGCCAGCCCAGGAGAGATAGTGCAGATAGTCACATTCCCAAAGGTCAGAGCAAGAGCTCATGATTATTCCATTTCCAAGCACTGTAAACATTTCTAGAAAGAAAGAGAAAGCAGCTGCCTCTTTTCTCTTTAGAAGCAAATAAAAACATTTTTACATTAAGTTTATTGGTACATTCAAAGCAAATGATACAGTTACATTTATCATTGCGATCTTGTACCTTTGCCTTTACAAGACAGGTCTTGGTTCTTGTTTTTTCCCCACACCCCTGTCCTCCCTTCACCCGCTTCACCCTTCCCTATTTTTAAAGACTTTGTTTCCATTTTTTCATTTTTTCACATTTTTTTCTTTTCCCTTCTTTCCTTTCCCCTCCCCTTCCCACTTTCCCTTCAGCCATTTTTTTTCCTATTTCACCCTCTCAATTATATCATTTGAACCTTATTTACACTTTTAGTTAAATAAAAATATTTTTTTAAGAGGAAAAACATTCTCACAGCACCATTTACCACTCAACAGCAGTGACTCTGAGGGTGGTGATTGTTAACAGTGGTAGCAGCATCTTTGGGGCTGTTTGTTCTCAGACACAAAACAGGGGTGACCTGACCCCTGTAGGACGCCTCCCATTACCTGAGTAACTCAATTCCATCTGACATTCATTCCATCTCACAGTTTTTTTAATCCTCTAAGAATGTTCTCAAGAGCAAGCCCTCGCCCCAGGCTATGGGAGGATGAGTACATGGGGCAGAGCGGGATCCTATCTCATGGGTTCTCTGCTAAACTGAGGTAAGGAGGCCCCGGAGCTGAGGTACCAGGCAGAATACCACACACCAAGAAGAGGCGGACAATTTCCGTATGGGTGCATGCAGACATTTGTGGAAGAACTAGAATGAAAACCAAGCCTGCAAGAGTTAGAAAGATAGCATCTTATGCCCAAAGTTTGTTCTGAAAGTATACACAAATAGAATGGGAGGCAATTGCATAACCTTTCACTAGCTTGGCAAGTGTCAGTATTTTGCCATAGTTGTGCACAATGCTGTCACCATAGCCAAGAGTATTTGTGTTAGTTCAGTTATATCACCTAAGAAGAATAATATATAGTCCATTCTTTAATTTCAGCACTTATCCAAAAATGTCTTCTAGAGCTG